CGCTCCGCACGGGCAACGTAGGGACAAGAGAGGCGATATATAATGTTCCGCGATATTAAACGGGACGCATTCCACCGAAGCCACCCTCTGGTCCCTGCTATGAATGCTTCTACGACCCCCGTCTCCTGTCTCACCCCTGCCTGCCGCCCCCTCGTCGACCACCTCCGAAAAGCAGGACGAGGGAGAGGGAGAGAGTGAGTGAGTGAGCGAGTGAGGGAGGGCGGGAGGGAGAAAGCGAGACAGAGAGAGAGAGGGAGAGAGAGGTGGAGGACAGACCTGGCCTACTCGACCAGGGCCACCCCCGAATGGTTATACGCCAAATTTACAGCTTAGCCAGTGCCACCACCGCCATCCACGAACGCGGCATTTACTACCACCCCCCGGAGATCCGTGCAACGGATACATACCGTTGGTATATGGCTCAAGGATAAAGCGACCGAGGACATTTTCCGGCTGTCCGCGACGTGACGTTCTCCCGATGACGAATTCACTCGGGCGGACGTCGCTCGGAATTTCAGATCGCCGTTTGTCAATCCGCTGATACCTGCGCGCCTGAGATGCACGTGAAACAGACCGAGGTCTGTTGCTAATATTTCCTTCTTCACCGCGGCTGAGGATTTCAGTGGATGACGGGGGGGTGGACGAGAGTCGAGGCGATTTCGCGATTAAGGTCTAGTTGCACCAACATTATTTTGGCTTTAAGTGAAACTTAAACTATATGTCTATCTTTATCTTTCCTTTTAAATAAATAAAGGCAGACATATATTTAAGTCTCACTTAAAACCAAAATAACGTTGCAACCGTTGGTGTAACCGGGCCTAGAACGACGATGTGTTCACATCGACCGAATTTTCTTTCGCTCAAGTACAAAAATTTAACTGTTATTCAGAACTCGCGGTATCTCTACATCCAGAGAACAACATGGCATGGTGGTAGCTGCATGAATGTCAACTATACGAGTTTTCTGTGCAGAATTGTAATATGTATAGTTTTCATAAACTACTTCGTAGTCATTGCAACTGAAGCAACTTTAGTACATGACTATAGTAAATTTAATATATAACTATCAATACACTATATATAATAATATACCGTACAATGTATATATAGCTAACAATATACTGTAGAAGACTACATAATAAAAGAACTGTATACATTCCACGCGCAAAACTCGTGTGGTTGTCATTTATATAGCCGCCATCATCATGTTTTTTCCTCGCAGTATACTTTATATCTCGCTCCAGCGGAATTAAATAGAGTTGATGGCAACGAATGTCTAGTTTCCGAGGGCTTCTGTGTTAACCGCGCACACGAGATAATGCGCCAGCGAACTCACAAAGGCGCGCGCGTGGAAAGACGTACATGGCGATCTCATTCCCGCGGATGTTCACGACATTCCGAAACGTCCGGCTCCGTCTCGTGAAAGTTTCTTCATTCATCGCAACGTTGCGTCTCAGCCGCTCCGTCGTAAATCTCATCCCGCGAGACCCAGTAATTCGGCGATGCTCAAACCGCCGAATCAAGCCGCAATATGTACACTTGATCTCGAAACGGTACCTCTCCAATCGATCGATGTCGTATATTCGTCTTGCCATGGTTTCACCCCAACGAACGATCGGAAGTGCTCTCTAGATTTCTTCGAGTGAAATCCCACTCGAACAGTGGAGTGACAACCACGTCGTTTCAAGTCGAGTAACCTTCCACTCGCACAGAGTGAATCGTCGAGTTTGTATATACGAGCTATTAAAAAGTGAATCTGATGTACGGCACTGTCAAAGAAACAGATTCACTCAGAGAGTTTGAGTGGAACATTCACTCCGTGTCTTTATTGTTACGAATTTTCACTCATTTCGAGCGCAGTTCCCTACTCGGAGAAATTTAGAGCGAGCGTATCTGACTCTGATCTCTAAGTCTACGGGGGATGCCTGTGAAACCCCGGTACCGAGCGAGAACGGGCACAGCTGGAAGCGGCCGCTGCGCTCCTCACGGGCCGAAAATTCGCCGCGACTCGATCATTGCTCGACAGCTCGAGTCGAGGCCGGGGGAAAATCTAGCCGTGATATCCGGCGCCGAGCGGCTTGCGGCCGAGCCACGGAGAAGGACGCGCACGTTCGCGGTCTCGCGATCTCGTAGCAGCAGCGGGGACATTCCTAGGCTTCGAGGAGAGAGAGAGAGAGAGAGAGAGAGAGAGAGGCGTCGTCTCCCTCTCCCGAGTGCCTGTACCCTATCACGGCCAGCCTGGTTATACCCTGTCCTTCACATCCGAACACTTCTATCCCTTGGGTATATAACCAACCTCCCCCGCATCCTCCTCCTCCCTGCTCTTCTTCCTTCTCCTCCTGCTGTAGCTCCCAGCCGCGAGAACGTCGAGTGCAACCATGCATCATCCGCCATGATCTATGCCTTCTGCTGGCGTCCTGGCGTTGCACGCGGGCTGGATGGACACACACGCGCGCGCGCTCGCTGGTGCACGTGCGAGTACGCAAACCACGTCCGCACGTCTCTATTAAGCCACCGCTCATTTTCAGGCCGCCGCCGCCGCCGCACATATTGCATTCGCGCGCGCTCTCGAGCACCGCGAGCCGCGTTCACCGTTAGCCACCGTATGCATCCGCGATTGTACGCAAGCCACGCTGCATCGCGATATCGTCGGTGACCCCGTGTCCGTTTTCACGAGGAACGTATGAGCCGTGAGTTCTCGCCTGCGATATCCTTCACAAAGAACTTCGCGAATCGTACCGACGCGTTGTCCCTCACCCGCGAAACGAATGGACTCGATTGAGAAGAATGGTGAATACTTTAAGATGGTTAGCAAACTGATCCTCTCGACACGAATTTGGCGAATTATCGTTTTCAACATCTGTTCTCTCTCTCTCTCTCTCTCTCTCTCTCTCTCTCTCTCTCTCTGAAGATAGATCTCAAATACGGGGATTTCGAGATGCGGCACGAGAAGGTTTTGTTAAGTACTAAGACTTTCAATTAAAGTGCTCGGCATAGTAAATCAAGCTCGACTGAAGTATAACAGCTTCTGTCTCCTGTATTTCTTTTTCTCACAAAAATACTGGCTATCGACTAATTACCCCTGACGGGAAGGTGCTCAATAATTAGCAATGCTCCGGATTCGACAAGGCTAGCCCACTGAACCCAATAAACCGTTCCTCCACCTTCCCTTCCTTCCTTCCTTCCTCTCTCTCCCTCTCTCTCTCTCTCTCTCTCTCTCTCATCCCCTGTGTCCAAATGGACAAAGTGGAGCACGTAACACGAATATCTGCGTATAATTAACAATTATCCGTCTCATCTTGATTCCCCGAGTGCCAGGCATGGTTGGCACATGCGCGCCGCGAGCCTCCGCGAATGATTCCCCGATGAATTTCGTCATTACGACGAGGATGCGACGGAGGTTGAAAGGAGAGAGAGGGAGAGAGAGAGAGACATGCGGATAGGGGTCGACGTCGACAAGAATGATGACGACGGCGACGACGACATCGACGACGACGACGACGACGACGACGACGATGAGGGGGGGCCACGCTCCGCTTTTCCCGGGGGTTGTTGCTACGGATCGGGATTTGCACCGCCACCGACGCCACAGATCCGGGGGTAGGGGTCTTTTCCGGGGGCTCAACATACACACTCCACCCTCGGTAGGCGGAGTGTACCGCCTACGAACTACCCCCACCTACCGTCGCGGCACTGATACGCGATATCAACGAACACTTGTTGCTCCGACGAGCGGCGTAGCATCGCGCTCGCTGCACCCCCTCGCTTTTTCTCTCTCATTCTCACTATCTCTCTCTCTCTCTCTCTCCTCGCACCCACAACCCCCGCGACCGCGATTTTTCACGTGCTGATTTTTCCTCCGCACACCCTCTCCCGCTTCCCACCTCTCACCCTCGTCCTCGCGCGCGCACGCGACCCCCCTTCTCCCGATTTCCACCCCCGTCGATCTCTCCCCCGTGGCTAATCCGATAGGATAATATCCCACTGTCGGAAACGCGGGCGAGCCGCGCGCGCGATGGCCAGCGAAATTAATTCGTTATTCTGCTGCGGGCATCGTTAGAAACAATAACGCACAGTGAAATTAGGAGGGGTCGAGGGTGATCGCGGTGGGGGTGTCCCTACCGGGGATATTGTAATGATTCCGGTGGTGTGGGCTGGTCGAACAGCACTCTCTAACCTCTCAATTGTTTTATGATTACTATTAATATTAACATTTGGTATCATTATCCCTCTGAAAAGGGGGATTGCTGTTGCATGCATACTGAACGCTTCCGGTTACCAAAGCGGAGGATGCTGCGGTAGAATTGCCGGGAAACCACTTTTCTCCCGTCGCGTGTCTCTGTATTCCCTAGAATAAAAGTACTACACAATGCCTGGACACTGATAATACCAATGGTATCTAATTTCTTATTGCTTTATTTTTCAAATACGAACATTTCCAATACAGAATATATGTATATTCAATACTTGTACATATATTCTCTATATTGAAAGGTTAAGTATTCATATTTAAAGACCAGAACAATAAAAATGTCCAGAGTTAGATATCACTGCTATTAGTGCCCATAGGCATTGACTTTTGCCTTACTCTGTCAAGGAATCTTCATGTCTCGTTCTTTCCGGTATTGTATGACTTTAGATATAATTTTTACAAACAGATCACGGCAATATTCTGGATTACATGCATATTCAAGGACCTCGGCAAATTCAGTATTTTACAGAACAATGCTGGAAGTAATTTTCTACAAAGGACCCGATTCATGAATACATCCTGCATATATATATATATGTGTGTGTGTGTGTGTGTGTGCGTGTGTCTGTGTACGTATGTCGTCCTACTTCACTTAATTATTCTTCGCATCGCGAGATGTAGGCCGGTTGGCCAGCACGTGCATCTCCGCGCACAGAGCGGGGACGAGGTGCAGGAGAAAGAGAGGGAGAGTGGATTTTTCCGAGGGAAAAGTTAATAAACTGGGGTTCGTCTCTCTCGTTTGTTGCAGGCAGTGCGGTGGCTGCAGCCGACACCATTTCCGCGCCGTGGACCCCCGCGAGTTCCGGGCCGCCGCCCGACGCCAACGGCTCCGGCTCGGATACGAAGAACCTCGACGTTGGCGAAATTAGCGATGTAAGTCGAGCGTGCCGTCTCCAATTAAAGACTGCTCGCGCGTCGCTCTCTTCTCCCTTTCTCGATTTTTTTTCCCCACTTTTCTCTTTCCTCCTTTTCTCACACCGTTCTTATTTCAATTAGCTCGCCGGCACTAGTAAGTTCGGAAAGGGCGCCTTTTCCTGTTCGGCCGGAAAAGAGCCGGTTCTCATCGACCTCGCCAATACATCGTCTCACGCAAGGACCCAAGATGTGCGCGAAGCACTCGACGACATAAGAATAACGGCGCGGATGTAATTTCACGCGAACGGCGAAAGTTATCTTATGAAAAAAATTCGCGACGACACCTTTTCTCGCGAGGCAATTTGCAAGTGACTCTCCGCGACGACGAAATGTTTGTCGTTTATATGTGGTTGCATTCTCGATAAGAGAGAGGGAGAGAGAGAGAGAGCTGAAGAGTCATTTATTTTTCGAAATTGTAATTGCGATACCGCATGAAATGATTGACCGTTTATCGCAATATCGCTTGAAATTGACCGAAAGATAAAAGATTTATTCATATCATCGATGGAATATGTATGTACATTTTATAATCTTTGATTTGCAGAGAGAGAGAGGGAGAGGCAGCTTTCGCGCCGGGAGGGATTTACACGCGGTGTCAAAAATAAAATAATCTCGCGGGCGAATTGCGCGACAATGAAATTTCATTGGGTCCGGCCGTGGGAGCACGCGCTGTTTTCAGTTAAGGATTAAACCGCGTTCCCGCGGTTACTTTTCGTTTGTTCGCGGAATTTATTTGCATATATCCCCGCTGCAAAACCAAACAGCATCATGAATACTAATGTCATGAAAATTTACGGGATTACTTAAGCGTTTATTTGCCGAGCTTAGCACATGCAAATTGGATTTATTTGGGTCAGACGTGCGAAACAGCTTCAAAGCTGAATGTCGCCTTTGCAATTTAATTTTCTGGCTCCTCTGCCCCCCTCCTTCCCTTCTTCGGATCCTTCCGTCCCCATCGTTGCCTCCGCGACACTGTCTTTCTTCTCTCACGTGTAATTTTACCGACAACGCGACGAACGTACGATTTATGTGTGCTATATTCATTTGCTATTTTTTATTACCCGCGTGCGTTTCGTTCCTCGAAATTTCTTTTACGTAATGTCCGAGCGCGCGCTCGAGAATGAGAGAGAGAGAGAGAGAGAGAGAGAGAGAGAGAGAAAGAGAGAGAGAGAGAAACTGCCATTCTCTCCGCTTAAAGTCTTATTAGCAGAAACAGTATATCATACACTTGCAAGAAATGTCGTTCAAGCTAATAGCACATCGCTTAATTTTATTTAGTCATAATGGAGAATATTAATAGAAAATTTCGAGTGACTATCGTGCCGGCAGGGGCTGCCGAAAATTTACTTTGCTATTACCAAAACGATTGTTTCTATTTCTTGACTGTAATGTTATTCCAATTTTAATCAAACTCAGGGAAAAATATCTATGTTCTAAAGATACCATTTCGCAATTTTGTGCACCCACTATTTCTTTCAAGATAAATACTAAAAAAGAGCACATGAGCAACTTATCCTTGAGGCCATATAGTCCCGGTCTCCCCTACATCTTAATCAAAGACAAATACTTCCAGTGTAAGGAAGCTAGAGTGTAGGGGCGTGAGCTTGAGGAATGAATTATTTTTATTTCTACTCCAACCATCTCTCTCTCTCTCTCTCACGGCAAGCTTGCTCCGCGTATTGCAGACGAGTCTCAGTGTATCGTCGATGTAACTGTTCCCGCAATGATTTAGCAATTCAAACGAAACAGAGTGCCGTTTCGCGGTAGCGTTTATCGGCGATCTATGGGCGCGCTGCGTCGCGATGGAAGGTGTGCGCCAGCGAGATCGAATCGAGGATTTCTTCCTCGTTTTTTCTCTTACCTTTTTTCCTCCTCCTCCTCCTCCTCTTCTTCTTCTTCTCCCGCGCCATCCGGGGAGTCCACCGGGTTCCGGATTGCGTGCTCCGCGATATTATATCGAACGTGGCGAACGTGACTAGGGTTCTCGGAAGGGACGAGCCCCGTTTCCTCGCACCCTTTCCCGCGCTTCTCGGTACCTAACGCCCGCGCTCGTAATCGCCCGTTTCTCGGCTCTTCGTGCGGCACGGAGGTGTTTTCGATTCGCTTGAAATTCCAGCCTCGCGAAACGAGCGAGCGAGCGGTGGCGGTACGTAACCCTCTCGCACCCGAGATGTGTGTTGTGCGAGTCGCCGGGCGACAACGCGACATCCCGCACCCGCTGTAACGTAGCTGGACGCGACGCGATGCGCCACGAAGGAGGAAAAACGAAAATGAACGACGAAAGAGAACGAATCACTCTTTGAATTCGAAACCCCTCGAAAATCGAGACCTCTCTCGCTCTCTTTCTCTCTCCCTCTCTCTCCCTCTCTCTCTCTCTCTCTCGGCCACGTTCCAAGCGTAGCTCCGTGGCTGTCCGGGGGAGTCCCTTTGTTTCGCGGAAGAAGAGAAGAAAGGTGATCTCCCCGAGATCCGGCCACGTTCTTCACGATCGACGCGCCAGATAAATTGCGCGCTCTCGCGGTCAACGGCGGAATCGGTGATAAATGAACTTTTCTCGTGTCGAACGTGCCCAGGACGCTGAGATGTGCGCGTGTTGTATCGCGAGACGCAATCGCGACGATACGTGACGGATGCCGGCGCGAGAACCACGCGGCATCTTGCTGGAAAGGCCATCCCGACCTCACCGGTCGCTCGAAGAGGCCTCGGGAATTGAAGGAACGGCAGCACGAACAGAATTAAGCGTTTTTCATGAGCTAGGTCTCGCCTTCTCTTGTTCCAACCCTTTGTGTCGCCCAAGGGTGCCGCCCGAAATTTCTCTAGAAACTAGGAAAACGTCACAGGGACACCTTCCAGGTTTTGATCAGTTTTGAAATTAGCAGTAAATTGCTTTAAATTTTTGTTTGAAAAGACACCGCTGTGGCGGTTTTGGAGCTTTATAAAAAATATTAGAAACGAAGCATAAAGGGTTCAAACGTTGAGAAAAAAACAAGAGAATTTATTTGTGAGATAAAAGATTTATTTTATAGAAATAAATTTTACTTCACACGAATAGAAGTAAAAATATCCCGCGTATAAACTCTCAAGTATTTTTCCTCAGTGTAAGGATAACAAAAATCTCAGATATTTTTTTCGAGAAATATGGTATATCGATCGCGATCGTTTATTATCGACTCGCGCGTTCGAAAGATAGGGTTGCGGGGTTGCGACTGGTGTGTCGAACTCCTCCACCCTTGGAAGCTCGCGAGAGGGTTAATCAGTTGATCGAGCGATAGACGGGTCTTATTAAAAGTCGAGCTATCGTGAACGATGGGCAATAATTTAAGAAGTTCTTACCTTCCCTCCGGGCTTACCCTCGAATCATGAGGATCGTATTTTTCCAGGACGAGAAGGACCTGTCGGCAGCGGACGCGGAGGGTGTGTGGTCGCCGGATATCGAACAGAGCTTCCAGGAAGCTCTTACCATATATCCGCCATGTGGTCGTCGCAAAATCATTCTTTCCGACGAAGGGAAGATGTACGGTGAGTCCCACAATTTCCTGGTCTATCGTTTCTCTATCGGTCGTTCGGTTGGTCGCGGCAAGAAAAGGAAGATAAAGGAAGGAGGCGTCGTCCTCCTTTTGTCGTGACTTTGAGACTTCGTGAATCCGTCTCGCTCGTACGCGATGATGAAGTCCGACGAGCTTTATCGAGAACGAGGATATTTCGACGAGACCGCGGAGTCCAATTGAATCGTCAACTTGTAAGAAATAATACGAGCATACTGCATTTATATATATACGTATTGCCAACTATCAGGTGTGTGCAAAAGTTCTACACTGAAAGAAAAATATTTGTAATTATAATCGTACAGAGAAAAAATTACTATAAATTATACTCAAGATAACTATTTTTTAGTCAATTGTAGTATAATATACAATTAGTAATACTAAAGAATAGTAACAGACCTACAAGATTATCATCACTGAAATTATAGTACAACTGACTAAAAAATGATTGTTTAATCATAATTTATAGTAATTATTTCTCTTATGATTATAATTACAAATACCAAACATTTTCTCAGTGTATCCGTTTGCAATGTCCCTGATGCAATTTCCAAGTGAAAAATACAAGTTACAAGTAATAATTTTTCGGATGAATAATAGTGAAATATATTTGCGGATCATCGGCATAAAAAAACATGCTTAGAATATCTCATCAGAGAACGTGCATGTGTGTGTGTGTGTGTGTGAGGGCGAGGAGGCGCGTGTTCGTTTGTTCGCTTATTCGTGCGTTTTACGAGGAAGTACGTTTGAGAGCACCTGAAGAAAAGCTCCGAAGGTAAGGACGGCGACGACCACCACCGTCGTCGTCGTCGACGACAGAGTACCTCCACCCGGCCGCCGCCACGTACGCGACACGGAGAAACGTCCAGACGGGCGTCGTTATTGCCCGGTGCTGAGGTCAGTCTACGTGACTGACCAGATATTGCCTGGTACGAGCGGCGGTACCACCGTGGCCACCGCCGTAAACCACCACCACCATTAACCGCCATGAACTCGCCACCGGGGCAATAACGCCGCCTCGTCTTCGGAGGATATTCGCTCCCCGGCCAGCCCTCACGCGCGCGCGGTCCTTCGCTTTGTATGTATGTGGGCGCGTGTGTGTGTTCTCTTTGCGCGTTTTTTGTATTAATCTTCGCCCGCCATTCTTTCCCTCTTTCTCTCGAATTTGTCGACGTATGGTCGACTTGTCCCCCTTCTCGCCCGGGAACGACAATAAATCGACGTTGGGATGAGTCGGTGACGGTGAGACGCGCGGATGAACGAACGGCGGATATGTAAATTTGCTCTCGCGCTTGATGACGCTAATTCAGTCCTGCGATACGAGGCCACGGTGAGCGATCGATGTATGACTTGCGCGAAATCCAATCGTGAAGGGTCGTATCTTCGACGGAAATTGCCAACAGCGGCACCGCGCGACGCGGCAAGCAGGTTGGTTTAATTTAATTTCGCGATTAAACACCCGAAAAACAACACTAGTTGCAACTCTATAATGCTATATATCCTGTGATCCTACACTACGGAATCTCGCTAGAAAAAATTTCTATTAAGAGAAAGACTTGTAGGTAAAGTTCCTCTAACTTTTGCGTGCTCAAAATAGTTTCCTTTTAGTGATAGAAGAAACCTCTTGAGACCACATATAAGAATGTGGTAATAAGAAAATTCTACTAAGAATAAGATTATTTTTTTGCGTCTACTAAAAATTATTCCAACTTTTTTCTTTTTGAATCGAGTGAAATATGTTGACTCGAAGCATAGAATAATAAGATAAGCACAAATAAAAATGAAACTCCTCCAATTTTAGAAATATTGTGCTCAAAATATTTTCTTTTCGATTTTAGAAAAAACCTTTCAAGGCCACACGTAAGAGTAAACAGCATTCGAAGAATTTTGCTGAGGACTTGCTGACTTGCGTTTTTTTGCGTAAATATAAACCACTCAAGCCTGTTTTAAAGTCATTTTTAAACTCGAATTAGTCGAGCCACAGTCGGCGGACAATCAGAACAATTTTTCCTCCGCGTTCACGAATGAATTTTAAAGGGCGGCCGTCTGTCACGATGAGAGTCGAAATCGCGAATTTTCACGGTGGTTCCGCGGAAGTGGGCGATTCATGCCAAGGCCGCTATTATCCTTGAAAGGACTGTAAACGAAGCCTGAAATTGACTCCGGTCTCTCGCGGGACGCGCGACCGCCGGCGGCGCGGACATCATCGCTACTTTTCTTCCATTCTTGCGCGTCTTGGTGGGCGAATTTTCCGAGAGGGGTGGTTCGGCAGAACGTAGGCCGCATTCGCATGAATCCCATTCGTTAAGGCACAATGTCGCTTAATTTCCGAAAGCACTTCGCGCGCGAAAAGCCAAGCGGGCGGCAATTCAATCGCAGCGCCGCGTCCTATGAAAATGGAGCTTAATTCAGGCTCCTCCGTGTCGACGGCACCGACGGTGGTGAAAACAGCAACAACGACGACTACGGCGACGACGACGACGACGAGGATGAGGGCGAGGATAATAATGCAACGTCCTCGCCTGCTCTATCCTTATTCTATCCTCGCTGAGATCACGTATCACGAGAGGATCGCGGTTGCGGAAATTCTAATAGTCGTGTCACGATGATAATAAAATTTATTAAACTTTATAATGAGATTATCATCTTGTTGCGACGTCTGTTTGTGATGATACTTCGAGATAAGGCAGAATGCACAATAGAGAAAGAGAGAGAGAGAGAGAGAGAGAGAGAGAGAGAGAGAGAGAGAGAGAGAGAGAGGAATGCAGGAGTTAGCAAAAGAAATGTATTCTTTGACAAAATTGAAGTATGTTTTTCATCAACGCAGTTTCGCGTTTTAATGCGATTTTCGAGATGTCACTCTTTTGAGCTAAACATTTTCGTGACAAATTAAACTTTAATGAATAAATAAATGAAGCAAATTGTGTCAAGTCAGATTTAATCTCTTCAGTGCGGTAATTAAAAATTACTGTCTGCTTCTAGGGCGGATTTCTTTTCATTTTTTTTTTCAACAAGCATATATTAAATTTGTATTTGCTATAAGTAAAAAAGATACAATAGTTAAGTGAATCAAAATTTAATATTTAATGAATAAAATTTAATGAATTTGATGTTAAAACTTTTTACACCAGTTAAAGGATTAAGGATTAAGGAAGATTCTATCAGAAAATCAAATTAACACTGAACTTTAAAAAATCGTCTCGGAGAGGAAGTAACTTTTACCGTTAATCGCGCGTGCTTCGCTTTCACCTTCGACTTCTAACGTCTTTGCGTCTAAGTGCAATACGCGCGCGTCTCACGAAGATTCTCCTCTGTCTTTCGGATATCTAATTAATCGTCGCGTATCTCAAGAGACGAGCGATTTCCGGAGTACAAAGTCGCGCGGGGGTGTCTCAATTGAAAATCGTTCCTGCGCCCTCGCTATCGGGATAGTCGTGAGGAGTAATAGTAGTAGTAATCGTGGTAGTGGTAGTATAAGTAGTAGTAGGTCGCTTCTCGGGACACCCCACGGTAATTTCCCCCTGGCATTGAGGAATGCGAAAGTCGGCGATTCTTCGCGCAGACGGCGAAAGAGAGGGAAACGCGACGCAATATAAGATCGATCCTCGACGTCACGAAAGACGGAGGAGCGCCGTCGTCGTCGTCGTCTTCGTCGTCGTCGTCGTCGTCGTCGTCGACGCCGTCGCCGAGCGATGCGAGTCGATCGTCGTCGTCCACCGGATGGAAACAAAGGATAACGAGGCGCGAAAATCGCTTAACGCGATTGGCCATCGATCCGACGGGAAACTTATCTCACCCGTTGCTCACTCGTCGAGCCAATAAAGGGGAGAGAGAGAGAAAGAGAGAAGGAGGAAGGGAGAAAGAGAGAAAGATCCCTCCTCGGCCTTTCCGCGGGATTAAATATCTCGGGGCAATTTACCTTCTTCGATCTCCTCATCCTTACAACCTCTCTTCCGCGCACCCTCTCCCCGTTCGTCCGTCCATCCGTTTCTTCTTCCCGGTCTCTCTTCTCTTATCCTCGCTGAGACGATGCCGACGCCCACACCGAGATTTATCCGTGGTGAAACGTTTCGGATGCGACACGTCCTCTTCCAAATTCCATCGCGGTTCTAAGCTACATTGCCGATTGAAGTAATCGTCAATAATTTTCCGTCGAGAACGACTCGTTTGGCTCCGCGAGAATGGTGCGAATTATCACCATCTCTCCGTGAAACACGAAAACTACAAGAATTCGTTAATTGGCCTCGGTGATGAGGCGCGTTAATGTCTTAAGGAACAGCCCTATGGATCGAACACCGCGTTCGTTTCACCTCATAAACCTATTGGATCCTCAAAGAAATTACCGGTCACACACATACACCCATGGGACACAGAGACGAGACACGCGTACCAAGAAATCTTTTTCGAAAATCTCGCGAGCGCCGCTCGACTTTTTTGCGAGCACAGTCGATAGTCTACGAACAATGTCAAAGTGGACTTCCTGTGTGTCTCGGAGCATTGGAGGGGGCTCGATATTCTTTGTGGCCGTTTCGCCAAGGTGGAAAGGAGCTCCTTTCTCTCCCTGTCTCTCCTTCTCTCTCTCTCTCTCTCTCTCTCTCTCTCTCTCTCTCTCTCTCTCTTATTCGCTTTTCCTCTCTTCGTACTTCCACTTCGTCCAAGCGGAAAGAAACCGCACCGTTCCTTCCCGCAGACCTTAGGTCCTTCGTCCTTACGTCCACGGCATCCAATAAACCGACAGAAATAAAAGGATACGCGCGCGCTCGCGCACGGCTCTCTTCCGCGCCCTCCATCGCTGAGGACGGTGGAAGGATGGTAGGTAGGTAGGTAGGTAGGTAGATAGGAGGCGAGCGCTTAGAGGAGCGTTTAGGTTCTTGCTTATACACCAGAAAAGAAAAACTACCGTTGCAGCTCTGCGGTTGCCCGGAACACCTCCGAGGCTTCCGCCGCTTCCACTGGGTGTAACTTCTCTCTCGC